GACTCGATCCCCGTTTGTTTGCAGGGACCCCGCGGGGAGCCGGGGGAGCCGGGCCGGAAAGGCCAGCGGGGGTACACGGTGAGTGGGGGTGCTGGGGGGGATGCCCGGCTGGGGGGGATGAGGGGCTCGGCTGTGGGGAGAACCCAGTTTGGAGAGGTTGAGTGTGCCCTCGGGGCTGTCCTGGGGACCCTCAGAGATCCTGCCCCTCTTCCACCCAACCCTGGGTGAGGGAGAACCGTGCCGGTCAGGTTTGGTGCGGGTCTGGGAACTGCGCGAGGAGCTGCGTGCCTGGTTTGAAGGGTCACAGGAGGTGATGCCCTGGTCCTCTCTCTGGGCACCCTGCTGTGGCTAGCAGGGGTGGCTCCCCACGGCAAGCTCCTTCCCCTCACCAGGTCCATGCTGCAGCTCCTCTCACCCTGTTTTGCAGCACCCTGCTCCAGCGAGTGTGTGGGCTCAGCACCGTCCCTTTGGGTGCTGGACTGTGACGTGTGTCACCCAGTGCCATCCTAGGCAGGTGGACATAAGCTGGCAGGGTTGTCCCAAAAGCTTTTGTCACCTTCTGGAAGCCACCCGCCTCCTTCCCTGCGGCTCTGGTCAAAGGGATGTGGGAGCGCTGCCTGTGTTCCGCCATGGGACCTGCTGTGCGATGTACCCTTGTGGGACCCGGCCACCTCCCCCGGCACCGAGTGAGCACAGCTGCCTGTGGGGTTTGGGTGCCCCATGGGTAAAAGGAAAGGAGAGCAAATGTCCCAGTCTCCCAGCATCACTAGAGCTTTCCACCTGCTCTCCCACCCTTTCTCGCTGGTACCCAGTCCCGTGGGGAGAGCTGGTGCATCCCGAATCTGGTCCCTCTCAACAGAGCCGAAGTGCAGGTGTCCCCCAGCACCCTCTGCCTCTTGCTCGTTTGTCCTGGTTGCTGCTGGGCTGCTCCAAGCAACAGCAGTGTCCATCCCTGCTGCTCCTCATCCGCCTGCTCACCATCTACTGGAGCAATCATCTTCCTTCAGCCCTCCAGTGTTTCCCATCCTGCAGAGCATCTCCCCAGCGACCTTAACCACAGCACCGTCGTCCTCTTGGCTCCCTCTCAGCAATGACAGGCTGGTGAGGGCTGGAAGGGCCCTCTGGAGCTCCCCCATCCCACCCCCCGCCAGAGCAGGGGCACCTCCAGCAGTGGCACAGGACGGCGTCCAGGCGGGGTTGGGATGGCTCCAGAGGGGGAGACTCCCCCACCTCTCTGGGCAGCCTGTGCCCCTGCTCTGCCGCCCTCACAGCAGAGAAGGCCCTCCTCAGGTGGAGATGGACCTGCCGATGGTCACGTTTGTGCCCGTTCCCTCTTGACCTTCTTTTTCTCCTGCCGTCTTCTTTGTCATCATGTCTTCCTCTCCAAAACTGGGCTGGCTTTACCTCCGGCTTCAGAAGAGGAGCCAAGGACGGGCTGGGCTCCTATGGATTGATGCTGAAGGAGGATTTGGATAGGCTGTTGGGCAGGACCCAGGCTGGTTCCTGGAAGCTGTGTTGAACCTTTGAGTCCCAAAAGCTTGTGGCAAAACTTAGAGTTGATATCATGGGCAAGAAACGCAGCTACACCATCAGGCGCTGTGTGTCTGCACTTCATCACATGTCCTGCTGCCAGGTGTCCTGTCACCCCCGGCCCCACTCCCTTGCAGCGGGGATGCACCTCAGGGATAGTGTTTTACCAGCTGCCAACATCTGGAAGGCGTCACTGACTCTGTTAAGCCGTTTGAGTGTAAACACTGGAGTCTGCCAGCGTAGCTTAATCAAAAGGTGCCAAAGTTATTCTCTGTCTTCACATAAACAGGATCTGTGAGGGGAGTCCGGAGTTCGAGGGGAGGGATTAGCACAGAAATGGAAAGGAGCAAATTTTTCCACCCATCACAGTCCATCTGCAATCCTGATGTCTTCTGTTCGGGGGGCTGCGTCACAGCCGCAGCCCTGTCCCCAGCCCCCTGCTCTCCTGTTTGGGCATCAGCCACAGGCTTTGCACGGCAGGTTCCCAACGGGGAAACCCAGCTCGACTTTGGACTCAGCTCTTCACCGGTCTGGGGTGCTTTTTGTTAAGGTTCACGTTTCTACTAGACCTTGGCCCAAGAGGTCTTTGCCATTCAGGCTCCATGAGGTGTCCGCTCCCTACCCAGGCGAGGCTGATGGGATGGCAGCAGGGATGAGGAAGAGAAGGAGGGATTTCATCCACCTGCTTCAGCCCCTCAGCACACGGTTGCGTTGGGTTGGGTTGGGTTGGGTTGGGTTGGGTTGGGTTTGCCCATGGTCTGTTTTGTGTTTGGCCCATCTGCTCGGGCTCACCCACCGCAGAGCACAGCTAGAGGGGTGTCGCAGCCCAACTCTCTCTCTTGCAAAATCACAAATAATAGCTATTCCCCAAAGCCGGGACTGGAAGAGGAATGGGGCAAAAATGCTGGATTTTGGGCTGGGTGCCCCCAGCATACGTGGGCACTGCTGAGCACAGGGGAGGAGTGTGGCTGGCTCTGCGGTGCTGAAGCCCTTGGGGGAGGGAGCTGGAAAAGCAAACCTCCCCAAAACAAGCTTTTATATTTTCACAACCAGATTTTTCACTTGAGAAGTAACTGGGGCAGCTGTGTCTTTCTGCCCTTCCTTCGAACTCTGACCTTACAAACCAAAGCAAAGTCCAGTTTTTGGACGTGACCACATGTTCCAAAATTTTGGAGAAATCCAAACAATCAAAGTGATTTGGAAGGTCCTGCACATGGGTTGGGGCAATCCCAAGCACAACTCCAGGCTGGGTGAGGAAAGGCTGGAGAGCAGCCCTGAGGAGAAGGGCTTGGGGGGGTTGGTTGATGAGAAGCTCACTGTGAGCTGGCAATGTGTGCTGGCAGCCCAGAAAGCCCCCGGCATCCCAGGCTGCATCCCCAGCAGCGTGGCCAGCAGGGCGAGGGGGGATTGTGCCCCTCTGCTGCGCTCTGCTCTGGGGAGACCCCCCTGCAGTGCTGCCTCCAGCTCGGGGGGTCCCACCAGCAGAAGGACACGGAGCTGTTGGAGCGGGGCCAGAGGAGGCCCCGGAGATGCTGGGAGGGCTGGAGCCCCTCTGCTGGGAGGACAGGCTGGGAGAGTTGGGGGGGTTCAGCCTGGAGAGGAGAAGAGAAGGCTCTGGGGAGAGCATTAGCAGCTTTCCAGCGTCTGAAGGGCACCTACAAGAAGGCTGGAGAGGGACTTTTTCCAAGGGCATGGAGTGATAGGACGAGGGGGGAATGGCTTCAAACTGGAAGAGGGAAGATTTAGATGAGATATGAGGAAGAAATTCCTTCCTGTGCGGGTGGTGATCCCCTGGGGCAGGTTGCCCCGAGAAGCTGTGGCTGCCCCATCCCTGGAGGTGTTCAAGGCCAGGTTGGACGGGGCTTGGAGCAACCTGGGCTGGGGGGAGGTGGCCCTGCCCAGGGCAGGGGGGTGGAACAAGATGGTCTTTAAGGTTCCTTCCAACCCAAACCATTCTATGATTTGAAGGGAAACATCTTGTCTTTGTTCCATGCTGTTCTTTATCCCACCTTATTCAGTTGCCACAGAGCTAAGGGGTAAAAAAAGCTGCCCCAACGCTTTAGCTGGTGATGTGCGGTCCAGAGGATCTGCTCAGGCTCTTGCATGTGGGAAAGCATCAGAAATGGCTTTGAGCGTAAGCCCTAGAGCTGAGAGGCAGATGCAGAGGGCTTTCTCTTGACCCTTTCCTAATGCGTTGCTTCTTCCCTGCCTTTCGTTTTGTTTCTTGCTGTCCGGCCGCTGGTTGTGACCCTGCCGTGGTTTCTGCTGTGGACCCTGGGCAGATCCACGTGCCCAACACTTGCAGCGTGTGGATGCACGAAGCTTCTCCCCCTGCCAGCCCTCCCCAGCTCCTCGCGAGGTATTTGGGGTTTAGCAGGCGTTGCTGCAAAAGCACGAGGCAGGCAGAGCTCGGCGTTTCATTTATTGCCTTCCTAATGATGTGGAATTTTTAATTTTCCGTGCTTGGCTATTTTCTCCCTAGGGCGAACCGGGGCTCCAGGGCTTGCCGGGACGCGTGGGTTACCCTGGCTCGGATGGATTCCCTGGGCTGGATGGCAAACCTGGGCCGTGGGGGCTGCCGGGAGAGCAGGTGAGCCACGGGCAAGTGGGGCCATGGCGTGGCCAGCGTTGGGATGGGCAACCTACAACCCCGAGCCCTGTGGCAGGAGACAAGGGGCTCCTAATGCTGCTGCTCTTAGTGTTCGCTTGCCTTCCTGAACTAAATAATCCTCCTAAGCCTACAAACCCAGGCAGTCCTGGATTAGCGCCTCGAGGTTCATGTTTCCCCCCAAAAAAGGGGCTGTAAAACAGCCCAGGTGTGCGTTCGGGTGCAGCTGGGATAACCCAAGAGCTGCAGATCCTGCTCTGGGCTGGGCCTGAGCACGGGGGCTGCGCCGCTCTTCTGCCTCTGGACCTCCTGGTGGCTTTTAGAGGAGAAAAATAACTGGTGGGAGGTGGGGGGAGAAAGAAGCAAGAGCAATTATGGACTGCCTGGCTAACTGGTCACTTGGTGGCGTGATGGTCCCTGCCCCTTTCCAGACCCCCGGCGGTGATCGCCGCGGCATACGGGCAGTGCTCCGGGGCTGGAAGGTTTCTCAGGGGACTTTTGAAGGACGGTGAGAGGGACTTGAGAGGTCTGAGGCTCTCAGGACCCCCCGGGGCAGGAGGCGGCAGCGGCTGCCGGCACGGTGGGGAGATGGGAGTGGGACTGGAGCTGGGCACGGGTGGGAGGCACTGGGCAGCCCCTCAGCGCCCACTCTGCTCCTTCCCCCCTCTCCCCAGGGACTGCAGGGCTTCCAGGGCGACCGGGGGCTGGCTGGTGAGAAGGGAGAAGAGGTAAGCTGGTTCTCACTTGCTCAGCCGCTCGGTGCCGTGGGCACGATTCGGTGCCAGCCCCAGTCCCAGCACGTACACTTAACGCCAAGCACAAAGAGCTTGTCATTACTGGTTTCACCAGTACCAGTACAGCAGTGTCCACCCCCCCACCCC